GTTCGACTCCTCTTAGGTTGATTTGGTGTCCATCAGTTGTTCAGAGGAGGAAAGCGTGAGTGAGTGCAAAGATTGCTGTTCAGTCAGGGGAAAAAAAACCCTGGAACATGTTCAGCATACCTTAGAGAACAAGCTTATGTAGCTTATATAGCAACATAGCTGGAACATGCTTATGGCAAGCTGAGGATTTACACCAAAGCTGTAAGTGTACATTGTCAAAATACAGGTGTCCTTTAGCTCTCTGCTAATGTCTTTAGTCATTTGAACTGATTTTGAAAATCTAGAGTGCTGTCCAGTGTATGTAACTGAAATATCTAAATATTTATGTTCCTAATAAGGCTTCTTCTGTAGTAAGATTTCATCTCCTACATGTTTAATGAAGGGCATGCTAGAAGAAGAAGCCTAAGGGTGACCATCTCAGGTAACCAATACAGAAACACAGATGCTTTTAGGGTATGATGGAATCTCTTAGAATAGCTACTTTGGGATAGGATGAATCACAGCCCACAGATGCCTATTTCTCTTCAGTGACTATAAAGAGAGAGGGGGAGTAGAGTGACTCAGTGAAATGTGGTTGTTTATATTTGGTCAAATGTATTTCGAGCTAAGTGCATAAGGCTACAATCCTGAGGCAGCTCAGCTCTCCATGGCACCTGGTGTATGTGCCTCAAACATTTAGCTACAAAAGCCTGAGTGGACTGGATGTGAACTGCAGTTCCTCTCTGCCTGATGCCTTCATCACCCTTCCCAGCTGGAACCACCCTCTAAAGGAATTGTGCACTTGTACTTAGTTTTCATCCTGATGGGGAATTGGTGTCATCCTAAAATAAAGTCAGGATGCAGACTGGATGTGTGCCTGAACCCATGTGTTTGGATCTCACAATTTAGACATGGCTTAAACTCCTTGTGCAAGCAGCAGAAGGAGAAGGGAGCATTTGGAAAGCCTCCAGGAGCCACCTTAATTTTGGTAAGATTAATTCCTAACATGTAACTTGAATATGTGCTTGCTTCTGTGGAGTGTTTCCATTTTATATTTCTCTCAGCATATATATGATAAAAATTGTTTTCCTTTCTGTGCACAATCTCCAGTTTTCCTAGGTTAGGGAGATGTTGGGATGTCTGGGAGGTAGGAAATTAAAACAGTTGAAAAGCCAGACTTAAAGTTCTTGTGATTAAGCCTATTTTTAAAACAAAAATTAGACCCATTCTTTCAGAACCTGTTCCCAATTAGTAACTTGAAATTTTGATATTACTGTCTAAATTTTTATCTTATAATGATTTGCACCATCCCTTCAGCCCCAATATAGATATTGAGGTGTTTTGCGAAAGCTGGCAACAGTGGTATTATGCATGAGTGCCTAGTTTGAAAATCTTGGCAGCTGCTTTGACTTTTCTTTATGCTGTCATTCAGACCATAGCTACCAAAGCTGAATTTTGCTTGTAGTAACAGTTGTGGGAAGTTACTAAGGGAAGAGTCTATTACTGACACAGGAAATGGCTTTACAGTTCTTTTTGTCTTTGCCAAACTTACCAAAACATCACTGTTGCCATAGGTCATCTAGACACAGCTCAAAATCATCAACCTGCTGCAACTGAGTATCACATAAATTGCTTGGTGACTTCGGTGCTAGTGTTACATATGTTCCATCCTTCTTGCAAAACTCCCTTTAAATTGACAAGTTTTGTTGCTTCTGGAATTAGACCTAATTGCTGTGATTCCAGAGTAAGGAAGGAAAAAATAACTGTGTGGGTTCTGCATTTTTCAGTTCTCCTCCTCTTTATTACTTCCAAAATAGTTCACTTTTCTCCAAAAGTTGTATCAAGACCATTCAGAAAATTGTGTGTAATAGTCACTGATAGAAGCATTTTTCCCTTGATTCATTAATTACAGGAGCATATCAGGCAGAGCAGATGGCATTTTTTGAGTTGGGAATTTACCTTTGTTATTCTCTGTTGAGTTTGACATGTGAATTTCTCAGCTTCTCTAAGATGATATTGTTTTGCAATTATATACATAATATGGTTGTATAAATCAGACTGAAAATTGAATTTCTGGCCTTTTTCTTTGTAACTGATGTGAAAAATGAATGGGTACATGGGCACATCTCCATTTGAGAACTACTCACTCCTCAACGTACAGAGTAATTATTTTTAATTTATATTTTTTTTGCTTGAATGAAGTCATGCCTTACTCTGGTACTTCTCAAGTGCCAGTTCTGAGGAAGGACAGAAATTTTCTCTTGAGCTTTTTGATGGGTCTTAGCTAAAGGGTTCACAAGTGGGATGTGATGTATTTTCAGCATGCCCCATCGGGTTGAGGGTCTTCTGATCCTCTGTCATGGGAGAACCTATAACATAATAACCCACATGAGGATCTGGGTGGATGTGTGGCTGCTGGCTTTGTGTTTGTGATGCAGGAGTCCTAGGAATGCTGTGTGGAAGCCCCCCAGCCCCGTTTGACTGCAGTTAGAGCTCTGCAGTGGCTGAAGGCAGTGTGTTCGCTGTGAAGCAGTGGCACAAGAAATTGGGTTGTGCAGGCAGTGCTGAGCCCGTGCCTTTTCAGGAGCTGTGTTAGCAGTGACTTGCCTTGGGTTTGTGGCAGGGAAGGGTTGAGGCAGCTTGCAAGTTGGAGTGAACCAATGGGCCACAGAAGCTCTCGGTGGGGCTGTGGTGTGGATGTGCCTGGGTCTGTGAGAGGGCAGCCAGCTCCTGCTGACTGGGGCTGCTTGTGCTGCTCACTCAGCCTCGTCTGGCAGGGGCACCACCTTCCTCTGTGCTGTAACCTGCTCGCCTAGACCAGCCAGACCCTGCAACTATTCCTCCCTTTCCCTCCCATCACTCTGTCCCTCTTCTGCCCAGCCTCGCGGTGTGTTTTGGCCCACCTGCCCATTCTGACAGTCCCCTCTGCGGTGTGCTCGGAAGGGCTCTTCCCGCACACGTCTGTGGGGCACCAGCCGAAGGGTCATGGGAGCAACAGGCGAGGTTGTCTTCCTGCTGTCAGCTCCAATGTCTGGTCTCTGGCAGATGGGAGCAGCAGTTACAGGGGAAATCCTGCTAATCTCCTGTAACTTGAGCCCATTACATGCTCAGTCGCACTGTGGGGCTGGTGCCTTTCCAGCCACATATGGACGGATGGCTGAAGGAATCAGACGCGCACTGCAGAACACTTTCCGAGATTTGCGCTGTGGGGATCAGAAACAAAAATTAAAAAGATGCTGTGAGTCAGCTGAATATTAGCAGGTTTTAAAGCTTTGTTAAATAGGAAAATATTTTCATATGCATAGCAAAACCCCTCCATAAAAAAGAAAAAAAACCACCCTGAAAAACAACATCAAAAAAGCACTTTGCCAAATTTCAAGGCTGCCCCAACATGGGCAGAGGAGCCAGAGTTCCCCAGTGAGTTATAAGGATGGCAAAGCAACATGTTTTTGTCTAGGTTATCTCAGAAATAGGCAAACTGTGTTTTGGCAGAAAAGTCAATAAATCCTGCAGCAGATGTCCAGCATGGAAAATTTTTAACAAGGGCAGCTCAAGTTTGGCAGAGTCAAAAGAATGTGGAAAATCCTGATGAGATGCACCAAGGGCCATCTTAATAATGGGTGGAGTTACCACCCTTGTCCCCAGCGTCTCTTGAACCCACCAAAATCAACTATTTGATTTTTTTAGGAGGATTGTTTTGGGTTTTTTTTTAATATAAGGCAGAATAGAGAGGAATGGAGGGGGTGATTGAACAGAAATTAAGGGCTGGCTAGCAGGAACCTTCTTGGCAGGAACACATTTCAGCCATGCCTGAAAGGGGAGGGTTTTCACAAATTGTGTGGGAGATGGTGGAACCCAAAGGAGAGTTGCTGCTTGCTGGATAGAGGAATAATGGATTTTTGGGAAGCTGTGTTTATAATATGCAAAATAGTCCACAGAAAACAATGGGGCCTTGGGAAAGAGCTGCCAGTGAATGAGAGCTTTGTTTTCCTCTTGTCTATTCATATTTCTAAACTTTTAGTGGCATTTTAAACACATTTTACACATTTTTTGTGTAATGTCTTGAATTGCCTAAACTGCTGCCTAAAGTACGGTTACCCTGCAATCTTTATCCCTTTTTGGATAAAGATTGACTTTCAGCTTAAGCTCCTTTTTGTATTTTTCTTGATTGCAACTCTTGTTTAATAATCCTTGGCTGCTTTGTTCTCATGTTTTAAAACTTCAGAAAAATTTATAGGAAAACTGGTTGACAGCAGACCTTGTGCACCAAGTGTGTCGAGCTGCCCACAGCTTGACTTGAAAATGGCAACTGGTATCGTAGTCCTTATGCCAGAACCTTGACACAAATGAACATCAGTTGCAAGCTAATTGCATGGACTTCAGTTTAGATACTGATGATGGGATTTGCCTGCCATGGATATGAATTAAAACACCATCACACAGATTGTGTTTTCATTGAGAAGCATCCCATACCTGCAGCCCCTAACAACCAGTCTGAAATAATCAAAAAGATGTTATGGTTGTATTGCTGTTAAATGCAGACACAGATTATGCAGTATTAAAATGAGAATATTGCTGCCTCAATCAGAGCGTGTTTTGGCTGCATGTTAAAATAAAAGACAGATAGTTTGATTTATTATGGTGCATGTCTCACCTTTGCAAACAAGACAGCACCACTGCAGTTTTGCAGTTTCAGAAATGTTGTTTGTGCACGCGTTTACGATTAGCAAAAGCTTTGAAAATCCTTGTGCAAGAAATGCTGAAGCTGCTGTTGCAGTGGAGGGAAAGGGAGTTGTTTGCTTTTGCTGTGTGTGTTATTTCACAGAGCTATCGCTTTGCCTCACCAGTAAAACTCCTTCCCAGTGCGAGGGAAATTCCTGGTTCATTGGTATGGATGCATTGTTTTTACACATTAGAAGTGCTGTGTTGCTGTGTCAATCATCCCGTTAGGATCAGTTTAAGAGCAGTAGGGCTGACGAAGCTGGGTGTGATTGGCTGCCATATGCTGGGAGGGCTCTGTGAGAAGGAAGGGCTGCAGTCTTTCAGCAACAGAGTTTAGGCTGTGTCTGCTTCATCATCTGAGGAAAAATCCCCCGATAAGTCACAAGGCTTTCTGAGTAGAAAACCCAAAACATTACAGGCTGCTCATTGTTTCGTGTCAGAATTAGTTACCATGATGCGATGGGGAAGATGTGGCTGTTTGTTTGTATCAGATGTTCCTGTTCACGTTGGGAATGCATCGAATAGACAGGGCTAAACAAGGTAGGAGGATCGTTGTCTTTTATCCAATGTTTCAAGAGTTTGCTGCAGTGTACTGCATACTGTATGTGTTGCTTGGGGGAGTCAGGGAAACACTGTTTCTTCTGTGAATGGATTCTGTTTGGGTGAAATAGGTGGTTTTATGGTAACTTGTTTTCAAAGGGTATTAATTTCCAGTGTAAATAGCTCTCTTCAGAAATAGAACATGAGTATATGCATATTAAAACAAGTAAAAAAAGAAATAGGTCAGTGTGTTTCAGAAGTGCTGCTACCCTAATTGGATTTTTAGCTGGGTTGTTGTCTGGAAGTGCAGGCTAGCTTTAAGAAGGAGAAGGAGTCAACCTGGAAATCTGTGAAGTTTATAGCAGCTATGTTTGAAGATTTAGATGAACTAGACTGGCTGATCTAAATAATTCTCTATCGGAAGCTTTGACTGAAGCCAAGACTGCCTGGTTTAGATTTGTAGGAGTATACAATAAGATTACGGTATTTTACCCTGTTATAAAACTATAGGGGTTTTCTGACTGTGCTGTGATTCCTTGTGCTCTTCAATGAAAGCCAGGGGAATTTTTCATAACATAGTTTATCTTATTGTAGTTTATTGCAGAAAACTGCCCTTTCCAGGTCTTTGTCTAGGCAGCAAAACAGAACCTGTACATGAAAACAAGGAAAACAAGGTTAATAATATGTGCTGCAATTATCTGATCTTTATACATTTTTAATGAGAGAACACACAGCTAGCAGAATAATTTAATGAGCAGGCTGGCTTTTAGAGCAATGATTTCACTGTGCTAAGGCACATCAACTTTCTTCCAGAGGAGGAGCCTCAGTAAGGAATGGAGAAGGTTTATGTTAAATGCTCTAGAGAGAGCAGAAGTCTGTAAAATTCTGGAAGAGCAGAGTAGTTTTCAGTTGTTACTATTATTTTTTAGATAGAAAGCAAACTTTACCATCATGTTGCAGGAGGGCTCTGAGAACATTTTCTCATCCTGTTATATGCTGAAGCCTTTTCAACTTTCTCACACTGCCATATGCATTGATGGTACTCAGTACCTTTTCAGGATGTCACCCAGTTAGTGACCCAAATTAACATGCTGACTTCAGTTGTGTTATAGCAGCATCCTTTATATGTACTGTACATATTATAGTTGGGTTTTAATTTTTTTTTCCCGCTAAGATTACCTATTGGTGAGACAAGAAAATGTTGTATTCTTATTTTGTAATAGCCATGTACATCGCATACTTGTATTCAGCTAAGATGTTGATAGAAAAAATACTATACATGTATACATGTACTCAGGAAGAATAAAGATCAATTTCTTAAAGAGAAAGCAGGTAGAATAACCTTTTGCTGCCTAAAAAGAACTTTTGATGATGCAATTTTGGGGGGAAAGTTTCAAGATTTCCATTATGCTAGGAATGAATTACATAAGTTTTAACAGTATTGTGGCAAGTAGGCCCTTTTAGCCCAACTGTCCATAGACCCACTGTCCATTGCCCCTCCTGTTCTTCAAGGAGAAGTACAGGACATGCACTCAGGACTCCTGATGTCCCCTCCCAACTCCTCACAGCTGACCCTGCTCAGGGAAGGTTGATATGACTTCCCTGCTCCCCAGCCAAGGACTTGCTGGAGACCTGTGGTGGCTTGCTGACACATACTCGGTTCATGAACCAGTGACTTTTGAAGGCTGCAGTCTTCTAAGTCAAAACAACCTTGTGTCTTTTGAGAATTTCAAGATCTGCTAACAAATGAAACAAATGTCAGGATGTAGAGCATTATTATTACAAATCCATAGGGTTTGGATATATATGTTTAACTCTATCGCTATTGATGCTTAAATGTGTTGTTTGTGTGCAGACTGTGTTAAGCATGCGAGGCAAAGACTGATAATTAGAAGCAAGTAAAATAATATTTTTCAAGAGATTTCTCTGTAAGATATGAGACAAATATTTAGTTATTGCAAATAAAACTGTTTTCATGCACAACTCTCAGAGAAAACTTTTCAGTTTCCTGTTTTGAGACATGTCTTACTTTCAGAAAATTTCAGTGTCTGGTTTCTGTGCCTTGTAGATCTCAATATCTGGAGTTATCTTGTTATGGCTGACTACCAAAGTGAAAATTTGCTTTCATCACTTAGTCAAGTAGCTGTATCAAACTACTGACAGACATTCAAATGACAAAAGGATTTATAAAAATTATTTCCTGGTCAAAGTGCATATTTATACTACTACTTTATATGATTAGGTAAATGAACCTTCAGCTTACAGAGTAGAGGTGGTAGTAAATATTCTGTATTTACATTTATTTGGTATTAAAAGTATTTCAGATCAGATTCTGGTGTCTATTTAATTTAGTAATATCTTTCTGCTTAATTGCTCTGTGTATTTCATCAGAGCTATTAGTGTGGTAACCTTCCAATGTGCAGTCTGTCTGTTTTCAAGGAATAATGACTTTGTTTAGAATTACTCTATTTTCCAAATATAGAATTTTCTATTGAGTTAGAGGTCCTGAAGTATAGTGCTTGGCAATAGAGCAATTATAAAGGCAAATCAACTTCTTAGTGTGTAAATGTACATTTTACCGAAATGTGAAATAATTATGTGCTACCATTTTAAATTTTTTCTTTCTGAGCAAGAAAAATGGCTCTTAATGTTGCGTGGGATTTCTGGCACTCAGGTATCACCTCAGCTGTGAATGAATTATCTTCTCTGTTGCTCAGAAATGTATCAGAAATAGTCTGTACTGTGTTTATTTGTAAAAGCTCTGTAAAATGTTCCATTTTTATAATACTGAGAGATGAGAAATAGACTGTTTAATTGAAATAGATTATTTTGCACACAGTTTTAACACATTGCTAATATTTAAATTTCATGTGATAGCTATTAGTGATACTGTGCTAGAAATTTCTGACTTTGAGGATTGTTTTTTCTCTTCCAGGGAAGAGACACTTTTCTAAAAGTCAAATTATTTTTTCCCTTTTTTATGAATATGACTGTTGCAAAATTGTAGCAAAAGATAGCTAAATCACTTTTTAAAAAATTTGTTAGTATGTATTTTCTTTTTAAAACCTGTGATTGTGAAGCTGATTTGATGTGTTTAATACAATGTATTATGGTTAACTAATGTGCACCAGTGCTATGTAACTGGTTGTAAACAGGCTGAAATTATAGCCTGAGGAAAATAAAACTCATTTCAAGAGAGTGTCAGTGCTAAAAACTAGTTCAAATAATAGCAGTATTAACTGTTTGACTAATTAAACTAATCTCCTTATCCATTATTAGCAAATGCAGCGACAGTTGTTGGTTATTGATATATAGCGTCTTCTTTTTAAAAAGGCTTTAAAAAGGCAAACTTTTTTGGCTCCTTTTGGGGTAGAGAGTGCATGAGGAGAAAGAAGTTATGCATCCCCTTTCTGGGATCTGGCAACTTCTTAATCGCCACAATTTTTTATTATTCCTTTGTAATCGGGCTGTTAAAACACCGAGCTCTCTCTCCGATAGCGCTGGCAACGTCAAGTTCTTCATTCCCTTTTTCAGGAGCGCTAAAAAAGGAAAAGTCTGCATCTCTGAAGATTGAAGAGCATACCTAACAGGGGATTATATGCACAATCCTTATAACTAACACAAGGAAATACTAATTACGTAGGGGACTCTTTGTGCTACTGATGATTACTAAAGCTGTTGAGAATTGCCAGTTTGCTGCTGCTGCAGCAGAGGACTTGTAGGATTCCTGGAGTCGTCAGTCTGGCAAAAGACCTGGTGGGCTTGTGATGTCTGAAACTTTGCCAGCTAGAAGAGCTCAGCTGTAAACAAATTGATAAACACAGAGGTTCATGCTCTTTTTATTATTTATTTTCTTTTTTTTCCTTTTGTTTTTCCTTTTCTGTTCTCCCTTCTTTTTCATACCTAGATATATGCCCACGAGTACTTACACACATACATAATATACACACACTCATAAAAAATAATTTTTCACCTTCATGATTTTTGTTATACAAAAACAATAGCTAATAAAGACAGTGGGAGGGATTAAGTGATACAGTTATTGCATAAAGAAGTGGATCAAGAAATAGGAACAGATGGTTCATATCAGAGTCTATTAATTTTTTCTACTTTAGGTCAATGATTTTTTTCATCAGTTTCTGAGTGGATGATAAACATTTTGGGAGGCGTTTTGGGAAGATCTGGGTATCATACATTGCTGAACTCATAAATAGAGACAAGGTCAGTCTGGAGGTTCATGAGCTGTTAAATCTTCTCTCCTGCAGGGAATACAGCACCTCTGATAGTAGACAGAATTAGAGAGTACAAGTAAGGAAAAATGCAGGAAGGTTTACCTGTGGTAGTTCTATGGAAGGAGAAAGCTAGGATTTGGCTAGAAATGCTTCTTCCTTTTTTTTTTTTTGTGGGAATTCTGAAGGCAGCTTTTCAGTATGTTTTTATTTTTGTGTATGATTGCTTTTAAGAGGCCTGGCAAATAAATTTTTGGTTTTTTAACCCTCTATTGTTCACTCTTATCCAGACTGAATACTTTTAAACTTGAGTTTCTGAGGAATTTTATGTTGTTGTTTTGGTTTTTTCCCCCTACTGCTCTGTTATATATACTTCAGGTATGTTAAATGGCACAGTACCCCAGTCCTTAGTTTTCTGAATCTGTCATGATTTATGTACTTTACAGGTGTCATAGGCAGTGGTTTGAACTTAGTCTAAAACTGAGCTACAGTTTCCAAGTGACAAGTTTTCCATTCTTTTCGGTTGTTCAGAAGGATGATGTTTCCATGCTGGGTTTCAGCAGATCAGGTTTGTGCCTTCCCAGTCTTCTTTGGCAGCTCTCTGTGGGACACTGCTGCTACTGTCTAGGTAGGTAAAGTGGCTGCCTCGTGGGACTGGCAAAGCCCTATTTTAGTCCATTTAAATATTTTTTTGGGTATTTCCCTCCACTTTTCACTATCTGCAGTGCTGTTACCAGCAGCTGTATGCATATTTCAAGCCTAGAGCTGCCT